GGGGGGGGGGGGGGGGGGGGAACTGGGAAGTTCATTTCCTGGTTATCAACTGGGTTTGTTCCACTTCATTCCTCTACCCAGGGAAATGGTACAGTGCTTTTTAAGGCTTTTACTCCCACATGACCCCATCAAACCCCAGGAGCCTTTTAGTATCACCCACAATTTCCTGAAGAGCTCTCCCTGTTCCCCCTCCAAAGGGTCCTGTAATTGGGCCAGTCCCATACTGCTACAACTGCATAGAGGTTCTCTTAATATAGCTGGGAGGTTTGCTGGCATAAAGGAGCACTGCCCCAAGGCCTACACATCTCAGCCAGTCCTTCCCTGGCCATGGCTGGTGATGTACAATCCCTGGCCAGCACAAGAAGAGGCATTTTATTCCTGCCTCAAACTGAACTAAATTCTGCCTCCTCAAAGCCTAAAGGGTAGTTTGATTTGGCACAAGGCTTCTGCTTAACTTTCTAGCCTTATGCTGTTCTAAGAAGTAAAGAAACAGCTTCTGACAGCTTATAAGATGAATATTTCTTTCGTGACTTACTTTCTTCCCACTTACCAAGGGGTGGAAGGGTTTGACTTTGTCAAACACACGGAGACTGTCAGCTGGAACGTGCCCTGAGAGTGGGAGATAGATCATTATCTTGGCAGCATTTCCTCTGATGAGCTAAGAATCAGTATCTTGGGAGATCAGGTTTCTCTTTTGCAGCTTTTCTGGATGTCCTACAACCATCTCTAGCATGCAATCAGTAGACCTGTGCCTTGTGTTTGCACTTTGTGTGCTCTGCTGCTGTGCTGAGATATCTGTGTGCCCTCAGAGAGAGGTTGGGCTGGAGACTTCCAAATCCAGGTTATTTGCTACCTCATGCACATCGGGGAAAGTTCTGTCTCGACATTTGCTCTGTGCTTTGCAGGCCAGGCCCTACGGCCTGCTGAAGCCGACAGCTTTAGGCAAGATCCCAGGCAGATTCCAACTTCACCAGGAAGCGTTGCCTCATCTCCCCGTGCCGCCACTCCAGCAAACGCTGGACCGCTACCTGCTGGCCCTGCAACCCATCATCAGCGAGGAGGAGCTGAACCACACGCAGGAGCTGGTGGCTGAATTCCGCAAGCCAGGAGGCGTTGGGGAGAGGCTGCAGAAAGGCCTGGAGAGAAGAGCCAAGAAAACAGAGAACTGGGTAGGTCGGGACTCTGGCCCCAGGCTCTGGTTAGGGAGGGTGGAGGTCTGATGCACATCTCTCCAGTGTCCTGGCTGCATCCACTGGCACCTGTGGTTTTATGGCATCACCTTCATGACCAGTCTGCTGCTGACCACCCCGAGCTGTGCAAGCTCCTCACCAGGACTTGGGTGATCAGAAAGATCTGTGGCAGAACAGGGAGTCACTGACCCTGTCTGTGGCTGCTGAAGCCTTTAACCTGTTAGCATCACACAGCTGCCCCCCCCCAGAGAAGTTGAAGGAAACACTCTGCTCAAGCCCTGCACCAAGAGCCCCCACTGCCTTACTCCAATCCCCCTCTACCCTTCCATGTACAAAGCATAAAACCCAAACAGTTTGTTTGCAAAGTGTGGGACGGAACTGGGGGCAGGATGCTGAGACCATTCAGCTGGGCTTGGGTCAAAGAGCAGCAGATGCCATGCCTGCATGTTGCCTTTCTCCGTCCCAGCTCTCAGACTGGTGGCTGAAGACAGCTTACCTGGAATATCGCCTGCCAGTTGTGGTCCACTCCAGCCCAGGTGTGGTTTTACCTAAACAGGATTTTCTGGATCGACAAGGTCAGCTCAGGTAAAAGCCTTTTGTACCTTTCCCTAGGTTTCAGATGGGATGAGCTATCTGCTGAACAGGGAGGAGGGTGTTCAGGCTGATTGGAAAGGAAGTAATTATCATGTGGTCCTCAAGTTTGATAGCTGTCTGTGCTGTGCAAGAGGGCTGTACAGATTAGGAAAGGCTGCCAGGCTGTAAGGTTGCACCAGACTAAATATTTCATCAAGGGGGAAAACCAAAGAGTCCAGTGGTTCAGGTACTACACAGAGACTACAAAAACCTCTAAGTTTTGGTCTTTGTTCTTGCACAGATCTTCACTGCAAGATGGCCAAATCACTGGCTGGAGGCATTTTGAGGATATATCTCAAGACTAAGAGGCATTAAGATTGTGTGTGCAGTTAAGAGAGGCATAGAAAATAGCTCAGGCATGTAAGGGAAAACAACCAGAAACACCTTTGGAATTTGCTGATTTATAGGGACGGGGAAGCCACTGCAGGGACCATCCCTTGGTCTGTTCCTGCAGGGGACTGTCCCCTATTGTGTCATTTCACTTGTGATTTATGGTTTGGGAAACTTAACAGTGTCCAGCCTCTCCACTCTGAGCTTTTCTCTGCAATCAAACCCTGCCATGTCCTCTCTTCCCTGTGATCTCCCTTTAATTTTTAACCACCACGAGTTTGTTAAATCCACCTGCAAAACTTTAGCATTGACCTTTATACAGTTACCTTTGCCACAGTTGCCAGTCATTACAGCTCTGGCATATCAAACGTACCAGCTGGGAAAGCAGCAAGGCCAAGAACAAACTCTCCCTCCCACTCCCTTGGATACACCTGAGCAGAGGTGCAGAGGGTGAGCTTTACAGGGACAGCGCAAGACTAGACAAAGTCTTTGGAAGCGCTCTCTCATATTATTCACTCTTAAGTTATCCAAATAGAAGATAAGATCTGGAGCACTACCGGTACTCCAACCAGTGGAATCGAGCAGCTGCATAAAAATCTGGGCTCCCATGTAAAATACTATCTAAATCTATGTTTATATAGTTTGTGGTTGCAGGAAGAAGTTTGACAGCATGGCTTGAGACTAAAGCTTCAGGAAGCAGAGGGCGAGTTTAGAAATTGGAGTTCTCCATTCCTTAATCTGACAACAGTGCTGACTGAAAACAAATCACTGACCTCTCCCTTGTCTCCCCCTCAAGCCCTAACTCTGCTCCACAGCTGTTTGCTCTCTGGAAAGGAACAAAGGCTCTCTCACTGTTGTGTCCCAACTGTTTTGCTTCCTCAGGTTTTGCAATAAGGCTGGGAAATTTTCACTGAAAACTACTTTGCAGGATGTCTTCTTTGTTCAGCAGCCCTTAGGTTCTTGGAGTTACGTCCTTTGATCTTCACGAGGGATGGGGAGGCTGAGCAAACCTAGATGACACTGCTGGCAAATGCCAAATGCTCTCACCACTTTAAAGCCTTTGAAGCTCAGCTGACTGCAACCTCTTGTCACAGTGACCTTCTGCCTCCTTCCTCCCTTGCTTGGGTGAGAAGCTCCCAGGTCAGAGTAGGCCAACCTGTCATTCCCAGCTAAGCAGTTTAATGTGGCTTGTCACAGTCCCCCTCCCTGCTGGGAGTTGGCATTGGCAGTGTTTATGTTGATCCTGGTAAACACAACACCTCAGCGTCAGTCAGCATGTGGCACATCTGCATTTGTTTCAGATGCCTCAGTGCCAGAGGCATGCTGTTAAGAGTTGCGTTAGCAGCAGAACAAACATCGGGTGAGAACTAAGTCAGCAGTGGTGAGTCTTGGATGCAGGGAGATACAGCTGCATCTTGGCTTGAAGCTCAGAAGTGGCCCCTGGCCCTGGAAGGGCAGAAACCCCCTTTTCTTGGTGCTGTTTTAATGCTAAGACTCAGAAGTAGGATGTGATAAAATCAGAACACATTAGTAAAAAATGCTGCTGTTAGAGTCATTTATGCATCTGGACCAAATGCTGCTTGCTTGAAAGTTGTCCAGAGTTCCTCGATTATACAGTAAGATACATAAAAAAAGAAAGCACTACATGGTAGGACCATCCAGCAATTTCAAATCACAGCCCCAGAGTGGCTGTATCAGCTAACCAGAGATGGGCACAATAGGGGCTTGGCAGAAAGGCTGAACTTTGTAAGGAGCAGCGAGAAGCTCTGCCAGCCCTCAGCTAGTTCCTCAGCCCCAGATGTTCTGTGTTTGAATCTCAACTTGTTACACTTAATATTTTTCCAGGTTTGCTGCCAAGCTGATCGAGGGCATCCTAGATTTCAAGACCATGATTGACAAGTGAGTTCACGACCCTCCTGACTTCTGACATGTTCTTTACAGTCATAGAGACGCTGAGCCTAGTCAATAACTCTCCCTTCCAAATAGAAAGGCAAGAGAAGACAGCACATATTTGAAAAGAGGTATTGTAATCAACATCACTGCTCACTGCCAAGGTCACCACCACTAGAAAAACAAATTTACTTGCTTCATGTTCTTTGTTTACCCTAATACTTTCATTGGCATATGTACATGCTTAGAGGGAGTGAGCCTGACTGAAAGTCCTGTGGAGCTACATACTTTTGTTTACCCACAGAACAAGTTACAGCTCAGACAGCAGGAATTGGTTTCTCTCATTTTGGGTTTCTGGTGTTTCTCATCTCCCAGCTAGACAGGATGAGCTCTAAACTAACTTGTTGCTCCTTACCCTTTTTCTTCTGATCACCAACAAACCCTGCTGAACATGCCTTACTTATGTTCCAAAAATGTGTTTACCAACATCACACCTTTACATCCCAATTCAGACAAGGCTCAGGGCCAGCCGTGAGAAGGGTAGTTGGAATGTGACTGCTCAACTGATTGAGTCCCAGTCTAGTTCACGAGTCATAGATAGCACATCAGACACTCACCACTCAAAATTATAGCCAAACCCCCCTTTCTACCATTGTACAGAAAACAAAACATCTCCCAGTATATTGTGCCCTGGATTCTGCTCTGCAGACAGCATGGTGCATGCTAAGATATGTAGTAAGTCCAGAGATCTATTTCTCTGGTGTTACAGAGGACAGTGTTTTTCCCTTTGCCAAATGAAAGGCCAGCAAACAGATGTTTTTTGTAGCCCCTACTAAGAAAGCTGATGGGAATGGGGAAGGATGGCCCCTTTTTTTATACCAGCAACACGTTTATGTCTTGCTGGAGTGAGTGACAGCAGCTGCACGGCTGAGCCTGTGCCTGTCTGGTGTGGGGAGTGCAGGCTGCCTCACCCATCTGTTTTTCTCTCCCCCTTCCTCCTTACCTTGCTGTGTCTCCAGTGAGACCCTTCCAGTGGAGTACATGGGTGGGAAGCCCCTCTGCATGAACCAGTACTACCAGATCCTCTCCTCCTGCCGCATTCCCGGGCCCAAGCGGGACTCCATTGTCAACTATGCCAAAGGCAAGAAGCAGTCCAGACACATCACAGTGGTTCACAACTTCCAGGTATGGCTGAGCTGAGCTTTTGAGGTTTGTTCAGATCCCAGTGTCCCTTTCAGCTAGCTGTGGTCCAGAGGAAAGGGAACAACAGAAAGTCTCTGCCCACAAGGCTCCCTCACCAGGGATTCGTTCTGCTCCCTTATCCCCTTTGGCCTTAGCTGGCCAACAGCTCCATTGCTGTGTGTGAGCAGCAGACTATGAGGCAGAAAAATTGCTCCCTTCCTCTGTTTCTTGTCCCTGCAATTCCTGTCTCTCAAAGTCCAGAGATCATGTCTGGAATTGGAAATTGAAAGTGGAAACTGGAGAACAAACACTACCACCACAGCTGTGTCTCAGAAATAGGAATTCATGTGTTTTGGCCCTCGTTACCATAGTTTCTGAGCTTCTTAAACCTGGACTGTATTTATGCCCTACAAGGGAAGTTGGACTTTGGTCTCTTAATTCTGAGAGTCTTTCAAAGGTCTCCTTACCAGCAGAGTTCTTAGGTCAGGTCTCACCTTCTCAAAGCGGCTGTTCCCTGTTTCTAGGGCTGCACAATAAAGATCTCTCCTATTCTGTCTCTGTCCTTGCCCATTCTTTTCACCTTCAGTTCTTTGAGCTGGATGTTTACAACAGTGACGGAAGTCCCCTTACTACTGACCAGCTCTTCACTCAGCTGGAGAAGATATGGAACACTTCCCTCCAAACAAACAAAGAACCTATTGGGATCCTCACCACCAACCACCGAAACAGCTGGGCAAAAGCCTACAACAACCTTCTGAAAGGTCTGTAGAGCCCCTAACACGCAAATGCTAACGAACACCACAAACGCTGGAACTACCAACCTCACCGCTGTGCTTTCCTCAGTTCTTTCCTTTGGAAGCTTGTTCTGGACAGATAAAATGAGCTTTCCATCTCAAAGAAGCAACTTAATTTCACTGCAAAGTGTTGTTATTTTTGTTTTGGAAGGTTCATGGGTGAAGGTCTGAAGCTTGGTTTGTTAGAAACTCTGAAATCCTAGTTTGTTGCCTTGCAAATGAATGAGATGTGAGAAACATGAAAAAAAGAGAGTGAATGCAACATGCTCACATCTGTAACAACCCAGCTGGCTACAATTTTAGTAACTATATACACCCCTAAATGACCAGTATTGCATGGAAGTACAATGGGAAGCCAACACACCGGGTCCTTCTGACCTGCTCTTTCAGATTTCAGTCTAATTAAAATGCAAGTTTTTCAACTCCCCTTCCTTACTTGCTGTTCATTTCTCTCCCAGATAAGACCAACAAGGAATCTGTGCGTACAATCGAGAAGAGCATTTGCACTGTCTGCCTTGATGCACCTATGCCACGGGTGTCTGAGGACATCTACAAGAGCCGCGTGGCTGCTCAGATGCTGCACGGCGGAGGCAGCCGCTGGAACAGTGGGAACCGATGGTTTGACAAAACCCTTCAAGTAAGTGCTGATGCTCTAAAGATGCTGAAGACTTGGGTCTAGAGGAGATGCTTTTTTGTGAAACTACAAAGGCCCAAGAAATCCAGCAAACTTTTGCAGGAAAGTTTTCCTCCTATCAAGAGAGCGGAGAAATAGAGGAGACGAGGCGTGGTGGCTGACAGCGTGAGATCATATGGTTTCCCTTGCAGCCACCACAAGCATTCATTCCTGCCTCAGGGACTTTCATTTCTTTTACTGTCTCTGCCCACGCTTATTCAGCGTAGCAGTTATTTGTGTTCCTTGTAAATCAGTTTTCTGCTTGTGGTGAACAATGCCTCATCTGCTTGGAGGCAGCCCAGCCACAGGGAGGTCTGTTCCTTGTATCTCCTCTAGGCTTGTCACTTTTCCTATTTCTGCCAGAAGCTGCCCTATGGTGGTTTTGTTCTTGTTTTTTTCAAACATAAGCTGCCATCCCACAGCATCCCTCTGATCTCTTCTCCATTCAGTCATGTCAAGAACTTGCAACAGCAGCCACTGTTTGAGCTTCTCCTTCATTAGTTGGTGTAGCCTGGCTTGTGGATAGTAGCAATGGTGCTTTAAAAGATTTTTCTCGTATCTGCTGAACCCTTCATAATGTTTTCGGTTATTTTGTTTCTGTATGGAACTCTTCATTGATGGGATAAAACTTAGATGTTCCCACTAATTAAGAAGGGAAAGCAGGCACACGGTGATATGATTCCTGTATTACATGTGCATCTAAGTAAATCAGAACCATTGAACCACTCTATTGCTGGGACACTGAGCACAACAGTGTATCTAAGGGCACACCCTTATCCAGGTGATTTTACAGAGCTGTAACAGTGCTATCAGATCTTCTATGCCTACTGAAAGGCTTCCATTGCTGTTCTGCTCAATAAAACCTTTGCATTACCTTTCCAGTGTACAAGGACAGGATCACTGTCCGTTCTGATGCAGAGCTGATAGGGAGATCTCTCTGGAGAGCTCCTTCACACACTCACGTCTGTCCTCTCCTGCCTCTCTCACAGTTCATCATTGCTGAAGATGGCTCCTGTGGTCTTGTGTACGAGCATGCTCCCTCAGAAGGCCCACCTATTGTTGCTCTTCTGGATCACATCGTGGAGTACACGTGAGTCCTGCCTCTTCTACTTTTCTTTAGCATTGGAGGGAGGTTTTAAACCACTTGCTCTCCAAGAACATGCCTCTTCCCAGCTCACCCCCTAGGAATTTGTTCTGGAGGAAGGGTAGTGTTGTGCTAATGAGGTATTGCAGTTCTTGTATTAGTGATAAGAATTGAGTGGCCAAGCTACTCTGAGAAGTTTTGCTATTGCTTCCATTCTCAGGAAATTGCACTGTTCAGAGTTAACAGGACTTTGGCCTGGAAGAGCTGTTTGTTTTGGGCAGAAGGCACAGAAGACATTTTATTCGTGCCCTTCAAAAAACACTGTAATGGCACTGTGAAGAATTTTTCGGCCTGTAACTAATGTCACAAGGTGTTACGGAAGATCTGTGCATTTCTACCCAGGTTCTGGTGTGCTTAGCTGAGCCTCATGTTAAAGATCTGGTTAAACATAATCATTTCTCTATGTAGGAAGAAACCCGAGCTGGTAAGATCACCCATGATTCCTTTGCCAATGCCCAAAAAGCTGCGGTTTAACATCACCCCAGAAATCAAGAATGACATAGAGAAGGCAAAGCAGAACCTCAACATGTAAGTATGAAGCAGTGGAGAGGTGTGATGAGTGACTGGGGGAGTAATTCATGTATCCCTCTGGATCATGTCAGTGGTTTAAATGAGGCTTCCCCCACTGTAGCCAGGGAGTCTTCCCAGTGACTTCTTGGGTCAACAGCATTGAACCCAGCTGAAGAGCACACTAAAGCCACCTGCCAGGAATAAATTCAAAGGTGCCAGAAAGGGGTAATTACCAATCCATCCCATTTACTGAAAAAGAGCAGGGCTTTACTGGATCTAACTAGGGGTACTGGCATGTAAACACATACAGAACTCCATCTAACCTGGTGAAAATTTTCAGCATTGGCCAATAAAAGCTTATCTCTGTGGTCCACCCAAGCAAATGATGGAGCTCTGTCCCTGTGTAGGTCAGATCCTGATAGCCTGTTCTCTGAGCCTTGTGAAAGTAAATCCGTACCTTTTCCATTACAAGAACACGCAACAGACAAAGGAACTCTTCTTTCTTTCTTTGCAGAATGGTCGATGACCTGGATGTCAAAGTCATGGTTTTTCATCAATTTGGGAAAACCTTCCCCAAGTCAGAGAAGATAAGTCCTGATGCTTTTATCCAGCTGGCCTTGCAGCTGGCGTACTACAGGTAAGACCACCACTAGGTAGCTTCTCAACCTCCTCACCATCAGTCTCAAACATGTAAACTTGATAAAGGTGGCACAGACCAGTCTCTGGGGGGCTGCTAGGGCCTGCCTTCCAATCCCACATCTTCCCCATGCACACTGAACAGCAGATCTCACTTGTGGCAGCTGCAGCAGGAGAGATTTACCCCTCGTGCATACAATCCTAGCAAGGAGGCATCAGAGGTCAGCTGTCAGTGGGACTCACTGACATAAAGTCTTCCCCTTCCTCCCAGTTCCTCTGCTTCACAAGAGCCATTTCTCCCAGGGCAAACTCACTTCTGTGACTTTCTTCTCCCTCTTCCAGGATGTATGGCCACGCCTGTGCCACGTATGAGAGTGCGTCGCTAAGGATGTTCCGCCTGGGCCGCACAGACACCATCCGCTCCACTTCTGTGGACTCTCTTAAGTTTGTGCAATCAATGGACAGCCCCGACAAATCGGTGAGGATCTCAAAGAGGTGGAGTAAGAGGACTCCGCTCCAGAAAAAGAGGAAAGCTGTTTATTTGGCTAACCCCCTGTCAGCTGGTTTCAGCTAAGCAGAACTGCATCTGATAGGAAGCTGAGCTAAAATCTAGCTTGGAGTATACAGTTATAGACCTTGGGTTTCATTTGGCTTTCCTTTCACATGTATTGAAAGCCTGGGAAACAACATGTGGATATTTCTAAACCCCCCAAAAAGAAGTATGTCCCTTCTAAAACTCTGTTTAGCAAACTAAGTTCTGATGATGATGGATGGAGAACCCCATTGTGAATGGAGTAACACAGCCAAACAAAATGATGTAAAAATTAAATCTAGTAAATCTAAAAATGAGTCTAGTATAGATACACCAGGCAGAAATACCCTCTGTCCTAGAGGAACAGCCAAAATGAGATTTTTCCATTCTGCAGAAAAACTTACAGATCTGTGTGTTCTCAGGACCAGGAGAAAGCAGACTTGCTGAGGAGAGCTACCCAGGCCCACAGGGAATACACTGATATGGTGAGTGTCCTCTCTGCAGCCAGACTTGGGGTTTTACCTACCAAACAAGGGTTCTGGTGAAAGACAAGGCCTTGAGAGCTCTCTGCTGACAGAGCAACGTAGCTGATAGGGCTGTTGAATAGATCTAACTCCAATCTGACAGTGCTCTTAGGCCACAGACTGAATCCTTTTTCTCTAGCTAGTGGTTTAAGTGTCCCTTGTGACTGACCTAAAGGAGAAAATCAAATATGAAAATAGCTTCAGTTCTCACTGTCCTTGTTGCTGAATGCCAAAGTTGCATGAGGACCCCTTAAACCAGAAGGAGCCCATGAGCAGGAACGGTAAGGTTGGTTCCACTGGTGTGTTTAATTTCATGGTCTTTCCAAACAGGACTATTGGTCCTAAAGGCAAGACCTAGTTTCTGTCTAACTTCAAACCTTTAGAGAATTTTAGAAGTATTCTTTTTGTTGACCCAAAGAAAGAGAGTTTTGCTGGCTTACCTGCGAGGCAGGCTTTCATCTAGTCTTCCTTCCTTCCAGGCAATAAGGGGCAATGCAATAGACCGTCACCTCTTAGGCTTGAAGCTTCAAGCTATCGAGGACCTAGTGAGCATGCCTGAGCTGTTCATGGACACAGCCTATGCTGTTGCAACACACTTCAATCTCTCAACCAGCCAGGTAGGACTCATCTGAGCAAAGACGAAAGTGCACTGTTTCTTTTCATTGCCCTTCTCCACATTTCCCCTTCACTTGCTTCTGCTAGAAGCCAATCTTCATTTGGGGACAAAAGTTTTTAAGCCTGCTACCAATCCCATAAAGCTGGAGATCTGATCTTATGGCTGCCACAGTCCCTCTCAACCCTGTAAAAAACTATCATAACCAGAGCCAAGATCACCAGAAGTGTTTGGTGTCTATATGCAAGCGAGATCAATCGAAGTTAGCTGCCAGAACAGCTTTATGTTCATCTCCTGTGCTGTGATTCTCACTAAGTTCTGCTTGTGACTTACCAGAAACTTATCTTGGGGAGAAGCACTCCTTTGTGAGTGCATAGGAAAACACGTTGCTATTAAACGGTGCAATCCAGCATGCATGTGGTGCTAGGTGGGTCTGATCAAAAAGGCCCTTTTCTAGAGCATTTTAACGAGATGGCAGCTGCTTCTCCTGTTGACAGGGCTGTTAGCATTTGATGGCTACATTTCTCTGACTGGTTCAAAGATTTTAATCACATTGTCTCCCCAGGTCCCAGCAAAGACAGACTGCGTGATGTGTTTTGGTCCCGTGGTTCCAGATGGCTATGGAATCTGTTACAACCCTATGGATGAACACATCAACTTTGCAATTTCAGCATTCAACAGCTGTGCTGAAACAAACGCAGCCCGCATGGCACATTACCTTGAGAAGGCACTGCTAGACATGAGGATCTTACTCCAGTCCACTCCTAAATCCAAACTGTAAGAGGCAAACATGATGCAAAACCCCCAACTAAAGGGGATATCCCTCAGGCACCGAAGTTCCCAGTTCCTCAGAAAATGATTGAGAGGACAGCTTCCCTGACTGGAACCTAAGAGAGCATCTACCATTTGTTTCCAGGAAGAGGTTACAGAATAGTCATCCTCAGATATTAAGACTCTGTTGGTGAGAGGAAACACTGTCTTAAGCTGAAGTAGAACTGACGGGTCTTCTCCCATCAATGCCAAGTGCACCTTCCTGTCCTCAAAGAGGACTGAAACATGATTTCTATGGAACTTACTGTAAAGGAATACAGAAAGCACAGTCCTTACCAGTATCTAAATCCATTTGGTGAGGAAGGTAGTTCTCCAGGAAAAGCAGGGAATGTTATTATATGATGGAACTACTATAAGACCAAGTCTTTTTGCTGGGTTAATTTTCTGAAGAGTGTAGCATGTTTCAAACTTGACTGAAGATTTTTCTGCTGCTCCAGCAAAACTTCAACATTGAACTTTGGCAAAGGGAGAAAGCAGCTCTTAAGTCAGAGCAGATCTAGCCTCACTGGAGTGCACTGCACTACTTATCCCAGGCACTCCGACCATTACAGGCTTGACAGACCTGGGAATGCTCCCTTGCCCTCACTTTAGGATGCTGGGATGTCCTTTCTGTTGCACTGACCCTATTAACAGAATATAATTTGCTACAAACTAAGGTGGGTTTTTGTTGTTCTGGGCTTTTTGTTAAGCTTACTGTTGTGGTCCTGGCCACTGATCTTCAGGCTCAGCATATAGCTTGTTCCCCACAAAGCTTATACAAAACTTCTCTCTCACACAGGTTTTGCTTTGGCTTTATGTACCTTAACATTAGCAGAAATTAGAAGGGATTGCCTAAGCATTTAGCAGGACAGTTGCTTCATTGTACATTTCTTTGGAACTGAGGAAAAGAAAGAGACACTGACCTGTTTACTAGCTAGAAGGCCACACACCTAGTCCCCCTCAGGGTACACGTTAACCCAATGTGTTTTTATACCTTGCTTTCAGAAACAAATTTTTGCTTAATGTGTCATGCCTAAATCGTGGACAAGTAAGAATGTTCCTGATCAGGAACTCCAGAACATGCTTCTGTTCATGGCCCCCAGAGTTCAAATCTGTTAGAGTCAAAGAAAAAACAGCTGCAGAATCACCCTTTTTTTCACATCACTCTGCTTTAACAAGGCAGAAAACCTTGCAAAGCAGGAAGCAAGCTGAGAACACGTGGGCAGTGTTGATGTTTGCACACTGTGGCAGCCATTGTTCCTGCAGTAACAGTACAGCACCTTTTCTGCCACTCTTGGAGTTTTTTCTTACTGCAATGTTACTCAGATTTGTGCCAGCTCTATTCTGTGAGAGAATGATCTCATGATAGTCTTTTCATGTTCGGTTGACAAACCTGAGACAGTAAAAGATTATATATAAACATTAACATACAATTGTAGCATAGGAATTTTTGTAAGCACTGCTTCCAGTGAATCTGCCAGAATCCAAGCTCCTGACTCTACTTTTATTTAGTAAAACCGTATGGTAATGAAGAATTCTAGTGCTATTTCTGCAACAGAAATTTAATATTTAAATTGCACACCCTTCAAGATGTGGCTGCTGTGACATCACCATACACAAGAAGCATTAGGAGTCTGATGGCCCATTTTGTTAACAGGGAAATATTTGATCATAATTGCTACTTCTCTGATCATAGAACAGCAAGGGACGTGATCAAGTGCCTTGGTGAATATATATGAAGAAATTTGCACTAAACCTGTTTAGAGTAAAAGGAAAAAAATCATTCTAATTTGCTTCTTGAAAGACACAAGTCAACACTACGGCATTTTTTCCTAAAAGGATATTATTTCAAAGCTTCTATCTTATACCTAAATAAACCTTAAAAATTTAACTGAAACTCACCTGCACAGCCAGTGATTGTATGAACTGCCACTTTCACATCATCTACATGGATTTAGTTGATCTTTTAGAAGAATCCTGAATGGAGTGAGATAGTCTAAAAAAAACCCAATAGGAGCACTACAAACCTGCAAGCACACATCCTTGCTCTGTTGACTCCTCTGTATGAATTAGACTGAAAACTGCAGGAGGATACTCAGTATTATTAAAGTGTAAGTGATTGTGTAAATACTACAGAAAAGACCAAACCTTGCTGGAACAACATCTGGGTTTATGGAGCCTTTTACTTTGAAAAAAATACTCCTTTTGCCAAAGTAATCCTCCCCCTGTACTGAATCAACCTCTGTTGCTAGGGGATGAGTTATTTTTCTCTGTCTGCAATGCCTTCAACCATTGATGCTACAGTATTGCCACTTAAGTATTTGAGACTGGCCCTTTTCTACTTCTGTCTCACAAGGGGAAGGCTCTCAAAGGAAAGTGCCTATTAAAGATTAAGCAGAAGTACACACTGCTGTGACTGTATCTCAGAAGATGGGCTTGATCTTCTGGATCTAAATCTGGATATCCCACTAGCTTCAGCAGAGTACAGCTGCAAGAAGCAGACTATCACACTGAAAGAGATACAAGACTCATAAACCACTTAATGCATCCTTAATGATATACACAGCTGAAATTCAGATGAATGAAGCTGATTTTTGAAGTGCTTGAAAGGACAATAAAATCATTACAAGGTTTTTTCTTTAAAAAGTCTTTTCTTATTACACAAGTTCTAAAATGTGATGTCCTTCTGATTCATACCTTCTTGATTTTCTCGGTGTTGACTTACTGAATACTATTCTCCCTGTTTCTGATTATTTTATGAAGAGATGTCCATTGTCTTAAAGGCACATGAAGACGAGAAACTTAAGTTCCAGAAAAACTACTGATTTGGAACAAGTAATTTAAGAAATGCATAGACTGAAAATATTCAGATAACTCCTGGGGTATGAGTGCAATTTGTGACACAGCCTGGTAGTGTTGCATGCTTTGCTGGTTAGCTGTGTTAAATACTGTTTTGGTAGTGTAATCCATGTCATGCAGAGGTTTGAAATGTTCTTTGAATAAACTGAAACACAATAAACAGTGCTCCAAAAAAAGTCTTAAATCTTCTTAGACGCTGCAGAAGTTACATAACTACCCGTATGGGAGGATGTTTGTGTGGGGACAGCAAGAACAGTGAACCACAGCATTCTGTCACCTTCCTTTTATTGTCTTAGTATCTCCATCCAGCCCCCTCGAGTACAGGGGAGGAAGAGAAAGCATCTGCTTGCAAAGCCACATACCCCAGAGAAAATACTCTATTTCAGAAAACTAATGGTGGGAGACTTCATACAAGTGTAGGATAAGGCAGAGCTCAAATCTTTTTCCTGCACAGCACCATTTAGTTCAGAAAATCCATGGGATCACTAAGGAATTTCTACTATATCAAGTACTGCAAAGATTTCTGGAAAGGTACAGCAGAAGTAGGCAGAAGATGCAGATTACAAACAACTCACAGAGAACAGAGGAGAGTTTATTACAGTGTCTCACAAGAGCTCTTCTTCTCCCTTACTCCTAAGAATTACTGTAGGAAGCTTGGGTTTGAAGGCAACATGAAGTGGAACAGCTTTTTATACTACACTGCTCTCCATGAGGAGATGAAACCTCTTCCCTACGCTCTAGTTCTTAACAGGTGCTTCCACATACTGTTTTTCCAGCAGTCTCGCATAACAGCTTAAGAGAGGCTAGGGAAGTGCTAGCCACTCTTGAAACAATCCCTTCTTCAAGCCTTGTCCTTGAGGGGAAGAGAGTTGTGATCTCCCTTCTGGCTTTGTAAGTTAACTTACGAGAGATATAAGAGAAAATAAATGGTTTTGCAAGATGTAAGTGATTAGTACCAGCTTTCAAACTGAAACATATGGTACCACCATGTCATGTGGCCTATCTGATGTCCTGTCTCATTTTAGTAGAGCTGTTCTAAGTCAGATCAAATGTCCTTGTGAAAGCTGTAAGATCCCTCTTTATTCTGATGCACCATTAAAGCGGATCCAGTGCTCAGGTCCTTCAGATGTTAACAGGATTGCTCATGTTATGCAAATACTAAACAGCTCTTAAAAAAAAAAAAAATGTATTTGCTGTAACAATGGAAAACAGTTAGTTTACTACCCATATCTACTTAAACACAGAAATTTAAACAGCCTCCACTCCTGATCTCCTAGATCAGGATCACTGCTCTCTACAGTTAACACTCTGGTTGTCCATCAGCTTCTACAGCAGCTCCCACTCCATATGAACACACAAACTCCTATGGCAACAGGCACAGATGAAAACTTAAAAAAATAAAAATAATCAAGATGAACAGAAACACATCTCACTTCAAGCAGCTTTATAATGCAGGAGTCTGGTTAAAGTGGAGATAGTAAAACAGGCAGCAAGACCAAGATGTAACAGTCATTTTACCTCTGCTCACATGACTGCATCGAAGGCACACCGATGACCTTTGAGCCAGTTCAGAAGCTGTCCTTTATCTGTGAAAGTTCAAGTCAGTTGTGCTTTGAATAAATACTTCTCCGTAGTTACACTTGAACTGCTGCATTATATACTAGAAATACAGAAAGTGTCCATGCACAGCCCTGAAGCACTTTGAGTAGAGCCCTTGCCAGGTTAACTCATGGATCACAGAAGTTGTAGGCATCACCAGCACACACAGATGGCAGGCACACTCCCACAGAGACACAGCAGCCAGAGAGCTGACTGGCCAGACGAAGAATCAGAATGGAAGAAGGATAGAAAGCAAAACTTGCTTGTAGGAGTTCAGCATTCAAGGTTACTAGTGCAGAACTCTGACCAAGCCACTGTAGTAACTGGGTAGGAGTCTGCTGGGACAAGTTCACTGCTTGAGTTCATGGTTGGATTCTAACAGGACTCTTCAAGAAATAATTCAGACAGCAGCTGAGCTAGTTATTAGTCATTCACCTTGTTAATCATTTATGGTTGTCACTTTGTTCATTCTTAAAAATCCCTCCCTTAAGCTTTAACAGAAAAAAAAAAAATTAAAATCCAGTGCTTAAGACAGAGACTAGCAACTGAATTTTGTAAGGCTTTGGGCTGACTTACTGCAGCACAGCACTGCTTATAACCAATGGGCTTCCTAGTGCCATCGGTAGCACACTCAGTACAACAACAGAAGCTGTACAGATCACAGCAACCCTGAGGTAATAAAAGTATAAAGGAAGAGATGCAATCAACGTGAGATACGTATGATAATCTTGCCACCTAGAAGAGATTTTGAGAAAGACACTCTTGCTAATTACACAACAGGAGCAGCAGTGAGAAAAAAAAAAATAGTCAGTATATTTCAGTTTTTCCTTTGTTTTACACACACACACTCCTCTTAATGGTATCCATGCAGGCTTCCCTGCAGAACCGTCACTAGTGTTAAAACCAGATCTTTAGTCTTTCTATCTGTACAAAGTGCAGTTGGAATTGATTTTAATCTCCCAAACTGGTTGCAGAAAGGACAGAAAGTCTTCCTCTCCTTTCCGACTAGGTCACCCCAGCCTAGTTCCCCTCCCTCCTAAGAAGTTTTTTTAAAAATAAAAGCCCTAATTAAGCATGATCAACTTGAGATTAGTTTTGTCATCTTCTTCCAAAAAGAAAAACCCAAACAGAAAGCAAAAACAAAACACACAATCAATGCCTCACCCACCCCAAAAACAATAGTTCCATTTAAAAAAATAAATAAATAGTGTGTATATTTCATGCTGAAAAAAAAAAAAAAAAAAAAAAGAAAAAAGTCACAGAAAGGATTCGTTTTTGGTTTTCCCTCCCCCGAACATGACACCAGGCATTTTCTCCCCCCTCCCCTGACGTAGACATGATGGTACATTCCAACCGGCAATGTGCATCTGTGTTGAAAATGAGTTTCTACTCCTGCACGGTCCCACATGCATCAGGGAGCATCCAGCTAGCTGCTAAAGCAGAGCAAAGGCTTTCAGGTTTTGGGTATGGTCCCTGCCTGTTCCTTTGGTCCGTCTGTTAAAAGGCTCCTTGCTGCTCCCAGGTCTCTGCTCTTGTCTGTCTCCGTTAAAACGTGCACTCTGGTCCCCACACTTTGAGTCACTGGAGCTTCGTACCCAGCTTGCGCTGTCTGTTTCTGCAACGGCAACACAGGGGGAAGGCTGAGAGAGGTGGCCCCAACCCTACCACAGGGTACTGCAGCCAACCAGGGGCAAAAGATCGGAGGATTGAAGTAAGGCTCTGCTTTAGCTCCACACAAAAAATAAAGCTGCCCCCACCATACTCTACAGGGAGACCAAGCCTTCCCACCTCTAACAGTCCTCAAACACCCACCCTATCTTAAACGTGACACCCACCCTATCTTAAACAGGCAAAAGCTTGCACGTGGATGCGAGATTATTAAAAATGCAAAAAGCGTGGGCTAGGGAGCTGACATACTATCTAAATGAAACATTTTCCAATCTCACACTCTCCAAACTCACCTTCCAGACGCAGTAGTTAAACCACAACTTGGTATTTCTTTACTCTGTACTATTCTACCCGCAGCAGCTATCTACATATTTGAAAATAAATTAATGACTACATTTGACAAGTCAAACCAGCTGCAGCTCCTCCGCCCCCCAGTAAAACTTACCTTGCCTCTGCTCTCGTGACTGTGTATTCAAACCACAGGATGTTAGGAATGAGGCTGGTGTCTCGGATTAAAAAGAACTCTGAAATTGGCCTGGAAAGGGACAAGGTGATGGAAAGGGGAAAACAATCAGACTTTTTTTCCACCACAAATTTGATTTTTAAAAAAAGGCACAAAAACTGCCCTAGATCTAACATTACTGTTCTATTACACTTCAGACTGGGAAAAGAGCTCCTTGTTAATTTAATCAAAAAAACCTCTCTTCTTTTTTCTGTCTTTATACAATGTTTCCAGACTATATTACATTTAATGCCTTTCCAATTTCACTAGGTCATTAGACATTCATTAGGAAAGATCTTGTTCTGCTCAAAAAGCTTCACCAGCACTCTGCCACAGTAGGGCTTCACAAACATTAACAGTTGCTTTAAGATCCCCTCTCCCCCACCCCTATCAAACATGGATATATGATCCTTTGTATGTGCATGCACAAGAAAACATGGAGGAACAAGTAGGTTACACAATGGTCAGCATGCAAAACTGGAACAGAACCCAGGAATTCTCATGTCTAACATCTGTAACTTTCTTTGGTGGCTCATAAGAAGTTTGAGCGGCCCATTTACAGCCAGGCTTTGCACAGCTACAACTAGAGACTGAAGTATCTTTACATTTGTTTTGCTTCAGATGCAAGGTACAATTTTTACACCCATGGATTAGGAAAATTTTCTTTTGCCAGGTAATTATACTACACCTGTGTTACCAGCTCACTGCAAGGGACTGATTTAATGAGCATAACAGCAAGTCACAGAATGCAGACTTGCAGGAATAAAACCTCCACAGAATAAAGAGACTTACCATGCAGCTATCCTTGGGAAGAGAGGAGTTAATATCTCTTGTGTGAAGGCAAACCAGGCTATGGCCATAATGCTTCCTGCCACACCTCCATATAAGACTTGGCTCCAGGTGTGGTAAAGCAAATAAACCCTGCAGTGGAAGAGAAGAGTCACCAGACAGACTTTAAAACAAGAGGAGACACGACACAAGGGCTGATGTTTCACTGGACCCTCAGACATTCTGAGCAAGTTATCCTCCAGATGTTAAAAGTGGGTATCTTTAATTTTTTCATTAAAAAGGTGGAAAAAAAAAAGTGGGGAAAAACCATCCTCCCTCCTATAGCAGTTTCGTCTTAGAGCGCTTCTACTTTGAGCTTAACTCAATAACCCTCCACATTCTTCTTCATCTACCTTTGGATTAGCTGAGGAACTATTACTGTTGGTTCCCACGAGAGACTTTTCCAAAGCCAGTAATGGGACAAGTCTCCTACCAACCACCAAAGCTGGGGCTTAAAGGCTTTTAAGAACACAGCATTTTTGTTATGATTTTGCCGCTCTCAAATGCGACAGCATGAAAGTCTGCACTACCACAGCGTGCTTACAGTGACTGCAGCCATTCACAAAGCTGTACTAATGCTCTGGTAAGTCACCTGTGCACACAAGCTACATGACTCACATTCAAAATTCTTTTTACTCATATATCATAAATCTATTAAGATCATCTTATCTGACCTTTTGCCTAGCACAGGCCACTGGATTTCCTCAAAGTAATTTTTGTGTGAATTAGACCATATCTCTCTTATGAAATTGTCCCGTCAGAATTTTAAAAATAACCAGGAATAAGGAATCAGCTGTAGTGTACGGTGTACAGTCAACTGTGCCAAAAGGTAATTACTTTCCTGTGGAAAACATGGCCTTATTTCTAGCCTGAATTTGTCTGGTTTCCAATCAGTGGAGCTCATTTTATACGTGTGTATGTTTGTGGTTTTTTCCTGAATCTACTAAAGGGGAAAAAAAAAATCATTATCGAAGTTTCATTTCCTTTATTTATCTTAATACAACTAAATCTTGCAAGTCAAACAGCTATAAGTGTTTTTATTAACTAATGCTCAAGCAAAACAACCAGATTGATCGACTGTAGCAACCCACATGCTGCAGATACTGGTGTGTCAAGGCATGGTGCAAGGCTTTCGTGATTAGTGCTGGAAAGAGGGCAAGGCAGTGAGGCTAGAGCATGGCAACGGAGCCGATGAGGAATTGGCACAAGCTCAGCTGATCTTGGGTTTTATAAATGCTCCTGTGAAGCACCACACGTGTAGCACCTTCGCTTATCTGAAGGGTCTCATGGCAACACGGCAACTTCCGCAAAGCTCTGACTTGTACAATGCAGTCGTCGAGAATTACATCAGAAATGCAGGATAAAGGATGACAGGTCTGCTGGCTGCTAAAGGCCACAGGACTGTATGAGAGCATAAGACAAACAATTGCTCCATACCTACTATATGAGACTAGCAAAGCCACTGTGACGAGGCAGATGGACAGCACATGTCGCCATAGTAAATCCAGAAACCTCGCATTGTTTGTTTGGTGCATTCTGAAAGAGATGGAGAGCCATTAGCACAGTGGCAGGGAGCTGAGCAGTCCTTATCTCTGTTCTCACTATCTCTGAAACCCTAGGAAAGCTCTACTCCAGTGGGGTCATGGGCAGCTCGATACCATCCCAGCAGCAATCTGTCCCACTGGCAGCAGTTAAAGAGAAGCCAGAAAGCCACACTTCTCTCTCTCCAGCTGTTAACAGGGATTGCTGTGATGGAAGGCAGAATGCTCACAATTACTGCAACTGATGTGAAAGGCGATGCTGAGCATATGCAACAGGGAGCCAAGACACCAGAGTCCCTCCATCATCCACAAAGCTAGGAGGAACTTCGAGTTTTGTCTTCCTCCACACATGGAGCCACAAGACAGAGCCATGCCCCAGCGAGAATTTCAGAGAAGCACAGCACAGCATGTAAAACCAGTACTCAGTAAGGGAGATGAACTAAAAGGTCATGCAAGTGGGCAACAGGTATCTAAAAGATTGCAGACAACCCCACTGACAAAACTGAGTAGACACGTGAGAAAGCAGCTCTTCTTTCCTCCTCCTTATTCCCCCCCATCTTCCCTCACACTGGTGGATCATCACTGCTTAGAAAAAGCAAATCAGGAGACCTGTACCCAGATAGGCATGGGAGGCCCACCCGTACCCTGCAGTTTTCAGCAATGGTAACTACAGTCCTACATTCAGATTGAGACAGACATGCTTCATCCACCCTAGCCACAGTGAATTGTGCAATTCCTCAGATTTAATTCCATTATGCCACTGAAGTGGCACGCAGCGAGGGAGCCATCTATTTCAGGTGTTTCAACACATTAACAGCCAAAACCTGACAATGAATTTTTACCTTAAATAAAGGAACAGAAAGGAATAGACAGAGAAAAACCACATGAATTGGGAGTGGCTGGACGGCATCCCATATTTTGTGGTCACTGTTGAATGGGCTTCTGGGAAGAGAAGAAGAAAGAGTATGGTCAAGGTCTACTCTGTACATAGCAGCTGGAACGCTCCAGATGTGAAGCCAGACCACTCTGCTGCAGTATGTGCACATGAGTTCACAGGACACGTCTCTGCTCAGATGGCTCTGCCAGCCTTCTTACACCCAGACATCCAAAGCCAACATGAGGCAAAGGGGAAAATACCCTCTAACACCCCCCCAGTTAGCATTCCACTCAAAACTCAACCGACACCATGACACCAATGGGCCATACCATACCTTCGCAGGGCCGAGGCTCCCGGATTACATTTTTTATTAACCAGTTCACTCCCTCGTTGAATGCCAGCCCTCCCAAGAAAGAGATCTGTGAAGGCAAGACAACTGTGTCATCCTATCTATAAGATCCATCCATGGCTTCAAAATTGAAAGGAGGAAAAAAATCATTTATTTTTTAGTCCACTTTGTGTATTTGGCAACACATTATGTACCTGCAGCTTTTCAGCAGATGATACACCGAGACAAAAGTGAGACTGTATAGTAATTCTGTTTGTATACTTCCACCACCAATTGTAGAAAGTGATGCTTTTTTAACAGGGTGGGTTTTGAGGGATTGTCTTTCTCCGACGACCAACAGGGGGAGTGCCCACACTGTTATTTGGGAAAACAGCTTTTAAAAGGTGACTTTTCAGGCTTTCTGACTTTTCCCTCCATGAACATTTTCATCTCGAGGTCGCTGTCTTCATTCTAAAATGAAGTCACATTCCGAACTGAGCCAGACTTGTAGCATTTATTTTTACTTTTTAATTCCACAGTCCATACACCTCACCTAAATTAGTCCTGCTGCTGTGATCGAATTCCCAGCTGGTGATGATACTCTGCCTCCTTAACACTCAGTCCCATTCCAGATGATGAAGCAATTTTTCACTCTATGTCCTGAGATACAGGTCAGGCTGCTGCAAGCCAGCTAGAGTCTCTCTCCAGCTGGTGACTTCCCGCATCAAGAACTCGGAATCAACCTCAACACTTCTCTTATTACTAACACCCAACAAGCCCCTGTATTCAAAACCCTATGGATTTGTCCAGTAGTTACTCTAGCTTATTCTCTTTTGGGTCAACAAGAAACCTTTGGGTTCCAAAAACTTAACAGCTGCCTCTCCTGGTTAGCACTGGCTTAATAACCTACAAGTTCCCATTCCCAAGCTACTGGTTCCCATGACACCACAGCCCTATATTAGAAACCTGCTGTCAAAATCCTTTCGCTGGCCCCTATTTTGTCTGTTTACCGAGGGCAAATGTTACAAGACGTTTACACCTCCTAAAGGGAATTTATCCATGACACTGATTTCCAACTACCTGTCAGAGCAGACGGAAAGCAGTATTATGTATTCTAAGAAGTCCCTCATTGGTCATCTGGACAGAAGCAAGTCTCTTCTGTCCCTGGGATTTGATTCACAGCTGGGAAGCAGTCCTTACAGATGGATCCACTCCCATCAGAGTCTGCAGGTTTTATTTTGCGTCCCTTTTCTGCCTCAGTAGTTCAAAGAAAGCACATCCTACTGAGTTAGACACAATAGCCTACATATGCTGCCCATCTTGCAGGAACCTACCAGTGCAATGATCCTACTGGATCTTGGGAGTGTTCCCACTCTGCAACAGCATTCTCTAGTTCCTCAGACATCTCCCTTGAAGTTTTTGGACAGGCAATGCCCAAAACATACCACAGAGCAACAGAAAAGTCAGCAAAGGCTAAGCAGTCTTTAACCTAGTACAGGTGATAAGTGTCTCCTGCTGTTCTTTGACAGGAAGATCACTTCACCCAGGCTTACTCTTTAAAGAGAGAAAAGAAGTGTGAATACAGGAGCACCAGGTGACAAAGGAAGACTTCTGTCATAAGGAGAAGCTGAGAAGGGAGAGAAGGACTCACCGTGTGAAGCTCTCTCTTGAATATGATGAGTGTTACAAAGCCAACAATAATGAATATTGGACCAAGACTCAAATAAGCTAAAAGCTGACCAGAGAAATCACCTAGGGAAACAAACAAGAGAAACAAATCAGTATGAACTCCACAGGTACGTGCCTGCCACCAGAGCGTGGGTCAGTTGGTGCCCTGAATCACTGAGAGCAGAGGGGCAAACTCAGCACTGCAGCAAGTCTCCATTTTGCAGACTGCTGCTGCGGCTCCAGCCCAGAGGAGCCGAGGCAAGGAAGACAGCAGTCCTTACATGCAGGTTCAAAAGCGGGGATGAGAGGAGCTTGGCATCGTTCAGCAGAGATTACTGCCAGCCAATTTACAACAATGACCATGGGTGTGGGCCCAGAGTCACTTTAATCCAACATAAGCACAGGCTGCTGTAAAGAGGCAGCGTCTTTCCCTCCCCCTCATTCACATTGCATCCCTCTGCCAGCAATTGCCAGCAAACACTCCCCAAACAAATCCTTTCCCACCCCCTTACTAAAATGGGTTAGTTTTCAGCTGGATCAGCTCCCTAATCTGTCTCACCATGTGTCTGCATGAACACTAGCATTAGCAAAATGGGGAGAAAATAAACAGCTAAACATAGCAGGAGATAAAGGGAAAAAAAGAAAACTGCTTTCTAACCGGTTGCCCACTTGTATGACACAGAAGTGACTTTGGGCTTCCACCCCAAACAGCTAACAGTCCAGTTATCCCCCAGGGACAATGGGGGAGCAGCAATGGGACCCCACATGAGGTCATAAGGTACTTCAAAACCTTCATCCTGAACTATCACAGATACAGAAGCAGGCAAACAGCTATCTATTTTGATCTAAGTTTCTCTTGCCTCTTCCCTGAAAAAAAAAGACACACAAAAGTATTTGGAGAGAAGATGTCAGTATAAATTCCGAGGGAACAGAATATTACCAGAGTAATTTTGCTCCAAGATTGGCAATACACATCTGGAGAGTGAGAACTAGCTACCAGAGAATCTTTAAAGACAGTAGTCACTGCAAAAAATGGGGTATAAACCCAGCGAACAACTTCAGAGGTGGGGAACTTCCTATATCAGTTCTCAGAGACTAGGTCTTCTCCATCCCATCACTGAATACAAAAGGATCAGCCTCCACATAAATTTCTCCTTCCTCCCTCCTCTCTGAAGGAAACAGGATGCCTCTGCAAGGCTGAGCATTGGACTCATTCCTAGATCAATTCCACTGCAAGATACTGAGTCTCCCCAGCCCACGCACCCACATTTTAAAACAGCACTTGGCAAAATGGACTTTAACCTCAGCCTCTGAATGCTGGAACTGATGAACAAAATTATTGCACTGCTACAAAGTTCACGCTGCTGATGTTATTGCCACATAGTTGTGGTTACCTCAGGTGCAGTGCACAGATCCCTCTGGAATTCCAGACTGGGTTCGACTTGGGAACCAGCAACATTGTCAGCCAAGGATTACTTGCAGGAGTTTTAGTTTGCAACACCAGTGAAACTGGGAAGAGTTGGAGGACAAAACCCACAATACTGAGTTTTCACTGAAGTGAGGTTCTATTTTGGTTTTAACTTGAAAAGTGTTAGAAGACACTGAATTTGAAACTTTTCTTGCACCATATGGCAGGTTTGCCTTGCATCAGGTGGGTTCCAAATGCTCCCAATGCAGAACAGCAATGTATTATGGTAATGCAAAGTGGATGTGACAGCATCAGTCACCTGGCAATAGAGAATCAAGCCCCTTATGGTTTTGCATAAATCACACACTCAACAAAATGAATCCTGTCTTAAATGATGAGGGAATTCATGAGACAAGCCACCAGATAATCAAAACTACCCTGAAAGCCTTTCGTAATACTTTCCAATAATCTCAGTTCCAGTGTTACCAGCTGAAGGAAGCTCATCATCAAGGAATCACCATGTTTCAGATCATTCACTGTTAATCCATGGTACATAAAGGCTTAGCACTTCAAGACTAAAAGCCGTAATTTTGTCAAGTAGAAACCAAACGAGATTGTTTATCTTCTCAGGGGGGTTCTATTTCTTCTGCAGATGGTGAAAGAATACTTAAAGAAGTAGTCTTTTAATTTAAATAGCATCAGCAGCACCAAACTCAAGATCCTCCATTATATGTTACATGATGACATACCCAATAAATCAAGGCACACAGACTTCACCAGCACACAACACACACTTGAACCTGGAGAACCAGAAACCATCGCTCCCAGATGCTGCCTGCAGGCAGAGTACCAAGTCCTTTACTCAATCTTAACATAACAGCTCCCCAAACATTTCAGCTGTCCATTTAAAATAGAACAGAGATAGCATTAATAATATTTCATATTACTGTGGCTAAGGGCAATCAAACAAAATCATATTCTGGAGCCACTTTTTCTAGGGGAGGAGGGAAATAAATAGCTGCACACTAACTGAAGGCAGCACTTCTGCTATGCCCTGGGAGCTACACCAGGAACTCACGAACACCATCATAAATGCACTCGCTAGATTGGCGGTTCAAGGCAGAGCTGCACTAACTAAACCAGCTCCAAAATGATTGGAAATCCCCCGTGAAGAAGGCAAAGCAAGCTGCGAGAGAAAGGCCAGCGCTGATCGCCGCGCAGCGCTCCCGGGGCCTCGGAGCGTGATTACTTGTGTCACTCCAATCCATGCTCACGCTCCAGTGCGCTCACAGACTTATTCCCAAAGAAAGGGGACTTGCAGGAGAGCCGACAGTTTTAAGTCCAATCAGATCTAGCAAGATTTCCCCCCCACTGCCTTTTTATTAAAAAAATTTTTTATTCATTTTACTAAACTTGGGAATTTTAAAGCAATTCTTCCAACCAGTAAGAACAGAGACAAAACCTCTGGGAAAAAAAAAATGCAAAAGGAAAAACCATTTAATATATAGCCTAGGTTTTGTTTTGGTTTAAATTCTGCTTTTTCAAAGTCCAGCCTTCCCTGAGCATCATTTGGAGCTCATGAGGCAAAAATAAAGAACACAACTGCCTCATTTTTAGGCACCCAAGAGACAAACAGGTGAAACACTATACATAGCTCAGAAGCACACTATTTTTTCAGCCTTCATTCAGCATCTACTTCTGCTCCAATTCAACATTTTACCCAGCATTCTTTCAGTGGAAATATCCCAGCTTTACCACATTAGCTTAACCTGTATATAATGTAAAAATGTGAATCAACAGCACTCTAACCACATCCTACCGCAAGATCTAGCTTTACCACCGCCACCACTGCTTCCTATCGAAGCATCTATTTGTGGCACTGCTGCTGGTCGTATGTTCTTGACTAAATGCATGAGTGCAAGTTGCACAGACAACGTGAGGTGTATGCGTGTCACAGGCATTTACACCAGTAAATATTCATGATGGATCATCATTTCCCCTACTTGCGCATATCCTGATATCACAAGCTGTGGGACAGTAAAAATATCTTCAGGAGGCTTTAAATTACAGCATAAAAAGCACACATCGGACATGAAACTCCTGCAGGAAGATTAAACATAAAACCTTGCATTACAGAAGCCAAATGACTGAGTGGCTTCTTTCGACAGATATTACTTAGCTACAAAATGAGCCTTGACTGGCAAGCTACCACCCTAAAGAGAAATCACAGCAAGGGTTATCAGAACAAACATTCCTATAGGAGCAACACGTGCTGATAGCGAACAGCAACGAGAACCGCCGAGCCAAAGTACACACACAGCACGAGCACCTTTGCTCCGAGGCACCTTTTCACCAACGGGTTGATTCTGCACACCTGCCTCTCCACCGCTGTCCGACTGTAGTAAACACCCTTTTTACGACTGAGAAAACAGGAAGATTCTCTGTCACTCTGCAGAGAAAGGGTTTGGCATGCCAGGTTTCTCTCCTTAAAGAATTTGTCCAACGTGAGAAGGTCCAGAAAGTCCCAGAGCATTAAGAATCCCAGCTGCACTGAAGAGAGGAAGTTTTTTTTTTCCTTTTCTCCAAATAATAATAAAAAACCCAAACAAACCAGGAACTCGGCGTTTCTCCAGTGAAACTCACCCTACAGACAGGAAGTCCCTGAAGATGAGTTTTAAGTCTGCAACACAAAGTCATCCCATGCAAAGCAATGCATACGGGAAAAAACAACCCTAATTATACACACAACATGACATGATTTAGTTGAGTTGTTATCAAACAAAAACCCTCAGGCTTAGTGTGAGCCAATACCTTCAGAGTAGTATCCAATGCTCTGCAGCAGTCAAAAAGGGAAGAAAACGTTCTTAAGAGCAAAACAGAAGTTACTGTTAGAGCACTACAAAAATTTACTATGCAATTCTGGTGTCACCATCTAAAAAGGGATAGTAAAGGCAAATAGAAAGGGGACAAAGATAACAAGTATGCCACGGCAGCCATTCAGAAAACATTGAGTAACTCGGACTTTCAGCTGAAAAAGGAAAATGGAGGATACACCAGTTCTACAAAGTCATAAACGTTATGGACAAATGGACAGCAAACGTTACCTCTCACTGCACTTGAGAGTGATGAAACTACTGAGCAGTGGACTTAAAAGCAGAAAAGAAACAACCAACCACATTAAGTTCCAAAGCTCGCTGCCAAGGATACTGTGAGATCCAAAGCAGAAATGGGTTCAAAGAGCCATTAGACCTATTCAGGGTATAGCTTTTATATATCCACCAAAGGATTTAACAATCCTGATGCAATCACCGGCTGATTACTGGAAAGACATACAGAAAAAGGATTATTCCTGCCTACCTGCCAGCAACCCCACACTATGCCAGATCATTCCTTGGTCTCACCAAAGTACAATTGTTGATATGAAAAGCTCCTGGACCGAACATTTCTGAAAGCAATATCAGAATTATATTTTTAAAGACTGTCCTCTTCAGCAGCATGCTTTAACACGCTGCCAAGATACCACTGCTGGTTTCTTCCCCCCGTTTGATCCTGGTATTTACTATGGGTGGTATTTCAGTTAGCTCTCCAAGATCCCATTACTCAGATCAGTTTGCAGTTGACTACCACAGCCTTCATCTGCGGTTTTTCATTTGATCTTGCTCAAAGTTGACATTGCAGAAAGCCCTGGAGAACTAAGCAGCCCCACAAGCAGTGTGGATGGGTGTTTGGCATTTGGCACTATATAGCTATTGATAAAGAAACGTTAGATGAAGACTGGGAGGACGAGCACCCTTCTGTAGACACTTCTCCCCTTCACAATTACAAGAAGCCCAAAACCAGGCTTCATCTGTCAGACAGAAATCAGCAGTGACTGCTTTTCACCTGGTCACAGCAAGAGGGACCATCACTCTTGGCAGATGAAAGTTGGGATGACAGCGGTTCTGCACTGGAAGTCTTTAAAGACATGAGATTTTAAGAGCTGGTTGCCACAGGGGCTCAGCACACTGCGCTCCAGACCAGCAGCCTCTGGGATCAGCCAAGAGCAAAAGCCAACATTTGCCACACAACAGTGTATGACATGCCAGGAGAGCTTAATAATTTATGGTGGTAAAAGCAGGATCTATTTCTCATTCTGACCTGTCTCTATCAGTACAAGGCTACATTAAGTCCACTGTGCTGAGCAGACTGCCAACATCACTATTTTATAAATATACATTATCTAGCAGCTTTATGGACCTGTACTTAAGCTGTACACAGAACATAAGCAGCTTTCTAAATAAAGTTAGAGAACTCTCCCCAAATCCAGGTAAAATTATCAGACCTACCACATTACTGCTACTTATTTTTCTAGACCAAAGTAAATTAAGGAACTTCTGAACCTCCAGCTGTTCTAATGTTTTAGTCTTGTTCTCCTACTTCCATAATTCTTTTTATCCAAGACAAACACAGCGTTCATCCCCTCAACACATAACCCTAATATCAGTGGTGATTTACCCCTTCCACACAATCATCTTCTCCATTTGCCTGTATAAAAGCACTCAATGCTGAGAGAAAATAATCACGTTACGTTACATTCTTTAAGATCCGACAGATAACCCTTGTGCAGAAATTTCAGCCACCTCTATTTCCCAAACCAATCCCACAAAGGTCCAGAGGATGCTCTCTGTATACTGCCAGGTTCAGATAGAGAGATAAGACACAAAGATGAATGTACCAGCACTACTAGAAAGATTATTCCCCCATCTCCCCCAAACCGTCACATGGATATATTTGAGAAGGGGGATGCCAGAAGAACATACAGGATGAAAGAAAATGCAAGACAGAAAAGGAATCCCACCTTTCACATAAAGTATCCCAGAAAACAGCTAGGGGGGGCAGGGGCAAGAAATAATGTATTTCTAGCACCAGATCTTTTCAGCATTATCACATTTCAAGTCTTCTGGCTAAATGGGTACTTTCAACTCAAAAGATCCCAAAGCATTTTAGAAGCTTTAGCTATCGAACTACTGAGAGGAGCTTTCACCAGAAACTAAAATCAAGCTATTGAAACAGGACATACAGCAACACTTCACAGCAAGTTAGGGACTTGCTAGGAGAACTACCGAGAACAGTGTTAACACAAAATTTAGATTTTGACCAGATTGTCAACACTAACTCTGAGACTTCACACCCTGCTTTTCTATTATCTGATTACAACAAGCAGCTAAAAAAGGTAAGATTTTCTATCTCACCCAAAACCAGCTCAGGGCAAAGCACCTGAAGAGGAGCTCCTAAAGACCAAGTTACTGAGACACTACCTAGACAGTCACAATCTGGATACAGACCCACTTGCTCTTGCACACTGGTAGGTCAGGGATTCATCTTCTCCGTTCGCCTGTATAAAAGCACTCAATGCTGAGAGAAAATAATCACGTTATGTTACATTCTTTAAGATCAGACAGATAAGCCCTGTGCAGTGCCCCAGGGACACAGCACAGGACCTTAGTGGAGCACAGCACTGCCCCAGCTAGAAAAGCCCATCCTGCACACAGGTACTTCTCCCCGACTGTATCCAAATCCAGACGCTCACCAAGCGCGGGCCTGCAGGAAGCCCTGTGCCTGCCCTCCTCCGGGCATTTCCCACGGCGCCCTCAGGGGTCGGCCGCCCTGGCACTGCGCAGCTCCCTGGGATGCCACGAGGGCGCCCCAGGGCCCGCTGGCCCTCCGACACACCAAGTCAGCCCTCCAGCACCATCCCAGCCACCCAGCGCCGCGCCTGATTGCCTGAGAGCTGGCGGCCATGGAAGCTGCTGATTGGTGAATCTGCATCTCCCCTTTCGCCAATGACGAAGGGCAGTGGCTGTCTCTTATA